CACTGCAGGCGTTGGCACGATAAAGATCCCTCACTGCTCAATTGCCCTGAGTGCCGAGTAAAGGTCAAAATTTGAAGCCCTTCATCGGTATATGGTGACGTCTCTATATGAGTGAAAAATTCTCGAATGGGACGTAAAACAACATACAGTCAATCAATCATGACGGTGTCAACTCAGAAATTCGAAGAAATTTCAGTATGAAAATAACGGCATATCACTTTGGATGAAAGACGTCGGTCAACATTCGAGCTAACGGCAGATTTCACTTACAAACAATGTCATTGTATCGATCATAGAATTTGTACAACATTGACTTTATTATACAGTTAAAGTATATCATTGAGGGAGTTAGCAAGATTCCAGTTCCCCAAGGCCAGGACTATTTCCCGAGGCGAAGCCTCGGGAAATTAGACATATCGAGGGGAACTGGAATATTGCTAACCCCCGCAATTATATACTTTTAACTGTTTTATTATACCGATACAGACGTAAAAATTAGAGGATTCAGATAGCGGGATTTCAAAGCAGGGATTAGCTCACTGAACTAACACACGGGGATTAGTCCATTCATATATCATACCAATGTAAAAGTAAAATCTAGAGGATTACGGATAACCGGGAATTATCTTTCGAAGCAGGGAGTAGCTCACTTGACTAACGCACGAGGATTAGTCCATTCATATCGATTTCTAAGGAATTAGTCATATCTAACGATCTAATTTTATATAGGGATAAAATCAGTAGAAGTGTAATAAAACAGATTGTACACGGGGGTTATCATTAAGTCTGCAGACCTAGCTCTATTAAATTTAGATCCCCTAAGTTACATCAATATCTTTTTTGGATGTTTATTAAATACAGAATAAATTGTAAGACATATAATTAATCTTTGATTAAATTATCAATGTCTTCGATAGCAATGATATGAACATGTGGCGCAATCTCAAAATACGATGAATTTCTACTGTGAGTTTAACGATGTCTAACACTTTCTCTTTCATTTCATCGCGTGATAAGACACAATTTTCGTTATGATTTACCTCATTCTGTCAGTTTCTATGAGACTTCAGGGTTAGTTCAATGGAGATTACTAAAAAAGTTATTGCTGATTATTACACCGTAAGGGGGATGTGTGCCATTGTCTTTTTGCCCAAATTTATAATTTCACATTGGAAAAAATTTGCAGACATTGGTGTTTAAACAGGCCGGAGACAAAATAATTCCAGAAAACCTGTATTAAATGGCACTAAAGATTAGGAGAGAAGAGAGAAGCATTAAATGTCGATTCGCGGTCCGAGTATCTAAAGTCGAAAAGTAACGTTGCTTGCTTGACGTAGGAATGTCGGACTCCGACAAGACGATAAATCTACCAAATTCAAGTCAGGATTTTTTTTATCCCCTCGCGACGATTGGTAAGTTACCATATTGTGTATGTTACTAGTAACTAGCTTGTGAATGTGTACATGCGTAATGGAATTGATGCAATTTTTATCGGGATCAATTGCACTTACCGTGTTGCTGAGAAAATATTTGTTGTAATTCTACCTTGTTTGAAATTACATAAATATGAAAATAACTAATTAAACGTATGGTTGTATTTTAACATCATTGTTTTTTTTCTAATATGAATGTTGAATTGTGTGCAATCAGGATCGGAATTATTCTTTCCTCGACTCAAAACTTAAGTGTTTGCTTGCTTGATTGAATGAATGTCGTTTTACGTCCGATTCGAGATTTTTTTCAGTCATATAGAGAAGTCACCATCTACCGATGAAGGGCCTCAAATCGAGACCTGTATACTCGGCACTCAGGAGAGTGAGACGTTTTTTTATCGTTCCAACGCCTACAGTGATAAGAATTCATAATTTTTTAGGTCTCACTCGAATAACTCGCGACTTTCACTTGTAACGCCGGGCGCTTAGCGAAGGAACAGCCATTATCTATGTTTGTCAACTCTCGGGAGATAACACATTAAGTTTGTAAGCCGAAAGTGAAGTTCTTACTAAGTTGCCTTTGATTAGCTATAGTGGCCTGGCGACTGCAGAGTTCTATCTATTAGCTTGTTTATAATCTTGTGTAACAGTGGTCTGTTATATTCCACTTAAGAGTCATTCTCTGTAAAACCCCTGTCACACCGGGACTGCGTCCTCACGGCGATCGCACGGCGTCCATAAAAAATGCAAAACGCCGAGGTGAGCGCAGTAGAGTCTCCTACAGCGCCGTGACAACGCGGTGAGATCTCCACTGAACGCGGTAGGGTCTCCTTGAACGCCAGGGGACGGCGCGCACTTTGGGCATGCACAAAGTACGCGCCGTGTGATCGCCGTCTGATAAGAACACAGTAGAAACGGAGTATGATCGCCGTGGCAGCCCGGTGAGATCTCCAACAACGCAGTGGGAGCTCCGCACGCACGCCGTGAAGACGCATGCACATGATCGCAGCATGAACGCAGTGATAGTAGACTGCGCTTCCACGGAGACCTCGCGGAGTCCTTGGAGATGTCACGGCGTTTCTATCACGCTTTTACGGCGCTTCTAATGAGATTAATTGTCTTGTGATTTTTTTGACTGCGATTACACAGCGACAACAAGGAGTTGTCACTGCGATCATTGCGCTCCCTTGGAGTTTCTACCGCGTACGTTGGCGATCACAATGCGCTTTCACGGCGTTGTTAGAGCGTTGTCAGCTAGCTCACAAAACAAGAGCAATGGCCTCATATTTGATCAGCAATAATTCTAACGTATTTGTTGCACTCCTGGCCAGGAGCATGGGAGTAGAATTGGGAAATAAAAATTACAGCAGAACCTGTTCTGTTGTTTCAGTGGAGTTGCGATGGAATTACTTAAATTTTATAACAACTTTTCAGTGCGTTTATTTTTTACATTCATGATAAAATCTAAGAAAAAACACATCTGAATTGATATAATTGAAAAAACTAACAGTAATTTAGTACTAAATTATTCAAATATATCATTTTTGAAGTCTTTTCGTAATGTGACTCGAATCTTTAAAAAAATGTGTTGCACTCCTTCTGAATATATATCCATAGTGAAGAACGCATCGTGGACGTATTGTGAACGCAGCAAGCGCAGTGAGAACGCCGTGAACGCGAGGTGACAACTCCTGACACGCCGTAAAAGCTCCGCGGAAGCGCAGTCAATCGCGAAGAGATCTCCGTTGGGAACGCAGTAGCACGCCGCGAGAACGCCGTAGAAACGCGTGGGTCGCCGTAGGGACGCCGTGACATCTTCACATTGTAAAATTTTTACAGAAATTTGTGCGATTTCCCTGCGATTCCACTGCGATTTTTAACATTTTTACAACGCCGTAAGGACTCCGTGTGGACGCAGCTTGGTGTGACAGGGCCCTAAGGACCTCGGATGCTGTTCAAACGAATATCACGGGTTTTAATAAAACATATATGAAAAAATTATGAATGTGTATGAGATTATATTAAAAAATTTGGGATGTGACCTATCCTCCAGGTTATGGCCCCTAACACATTTTGTGGCTACCCCCATGTTTGAAATGACCAGTTTTCTCGTAATTTATCATCAAATATTCAAAATAAATAATGCACTATGGTTGGATGAAGTGCATTTAATTGTGAAAACAAGGTGTGAAGTAAAGATAAAAAATTATTTTGATTTATCATTAACACCTTTTTTTATTTTAAAGAAATTTAAATTTCCTCACCTTTTTAACCCTTAACCAATAGGCTAAATAACCATAATTTCAGTGCAATTTTATGAAAAATCCCAAGATAGGTTTATAAAATATTAACAATATTTTGAAAGCAAACCCATACTTGATTATATATTTATAATTATTTTGGGTGTGTGTTTTTTGATTTAAAAAATTAAAATGCATTTGAAAAATGAGAAAAAAATGGCATTTCACTAAATATTACCTCCCTTTGTAAAACTCTCTAGTTCCAACAGTGAAAGGAGGTAAAAACAACACTATATTTGTAAGAATGACCATAATCCCCGTCGAGGCCCCGTCTACAGAGAGCAAACGAACTCTGGCGGAATTTGTAAGTATGACGTCTGGAGTTCCTTTTTACAAACCATGTGTTTTATTGATATTTTTATACAAAAGTGCCTAGATTATATAGTGCAGCTTCCTTAGAAGATGTGATAATGCTTGTTCTGGGGACATTCAACACTTCGTGAATTTCAACATTGACCAGTTTCATATCAGTTTGTCTTAAGTAGGTCATATGCCATGTGTTGCACTTGCTAAATACAGTGAATGACTATCGAATGTGCACGAGTTATTTTGACTTTTTTTTAAAATTAAATACAAAGAAGTCAAGAAGGAAGCTATGTCAAATTCCAAGTCTTCTTAGCTCCAACTTACTTAGTGAAAACCAAAGAGAAGATTGGACTAAGAATTCCCTTCCAAGTAGAACACGTGAAATGTGAAAGCAGGGGTTTGAAGAAGTGTGAAATCCTTCATTTTATTGGTCAAGCTGGTGCAACGCTACCATTTATACGTAAGTAACTAAATGTTCTTATATACGATGTTATATTTATTCGTAGAGTAGATGATCATGCTAATCAAATGTACCCTTTAAGAGTTTCTCCAATTATTGTTTATTTAGACCTGTCAACATACAAAACTAAATTAAAAAAAATATGTCAAATGTGTGGTTGAATGGCTAACAACACATTCCTATATAATTATTATACACCCGTCTTAAGACGGGACGTATTTTGTTATAGGCTTCATGTCCGTCCGTCTGTCCGTCTGTTAGCTTTTTTGTTTCCGGCTCATAACTTTAATACTATTAGGCCTAGGATTATCAAACTTTTGTCATCTAAAGCATCTTGGGTAGAAGGTGTGTCGCGCATAAAAAGTAGGTCGCTCAGACCTTTAATTAAGAAGTTATAGTCAAATATGGAAAAATCCTTTCCAGCCCATAACTAGAAGACTTTAGCTGTATAACAAATATAATGTATGTTAGAGAAATCCTACCTCTTCCATGAGTGTCAAGAAGATTTTTGATAACAGAAAATTGCATGTCAAATTACAGAGAAATTAATGAGTTTAGTGTGAGGAGCTAACTGGTAGAGCATCTCTGATCAAGCAGGTGTTATCTATATCCCTTGGGTATTGGGCAAATGGGTTAAAGCCTGTTGGATTAAAAATAGCTCTTGTTGGCTAGCCTAAGTTTTAAAATGAATTTGATGAAAAGTAATTAAAACTAATTTGATATTGCATAATAGACTAATCTGATATTATATAATATTATTAATTTAAAAACTAATTTTATGGGGTGGGGTGGAATCAGCATGTCCATATGAATTACATATTAAAACCTGTCGGACATTAAATCTCAACAAAAAAAATCTTTGAGTATTTTATATGTTTTAAAAAAAAATTGTGGTAGATAGTGCAGACCCATTCATCTCTTGGTAGTAATGAGTAGACAAGCATCCAGGTACTTTTAGATTAATTAATGAGTTCAATGTAGGAAGGCTAGCTGTCTCAATCATTTCTTTAGAGCATCTCTGATCAAGCAGTCTTATCTGTATCCTTTGGGGATTAGACAGAAGAACTGCTGGTCAGTTTATAGCATATTTGATTTGATGGCCAGCCTTTTATTTTCAAAATTAATTTGGTATAGATTAAGGTGTTAAGACTAATTTGATATTGTTTAATATGATGGGCATTCGACAAGGTCTAACACAACCAGCATAGAAATCTATCAATGATGTAATATTTATTATAATTAATGCCTACATCACAGGGGATGGATAAATACTTTAAGGAATGGAAAAATCATGGAAATCTTAGAATCAAGGTTGACATGATTTTCTTGCACTCTAAACTGTTCAAGAAAATTGTAATTTTTTGACGGGCGTATCATGCTGTGGCGCGGCACTTTAATTGTGCTTTAATGCCAGTAAGGAATTGAATTGTTCTAATAAAAATATACAATTTATTGTAGCATGCTGCTGCATGCTCCATGTGTGGAAGAAGGAAGAACCTTCAAGAGGAAGATATTTAGATCATTCATGGAGTGTTCTGAAAACATCAAACAAGGAGGTAAGTTTTAAAACAAAATTATAAAGAGGTACAGTGTATAGCGTCTTTTCCCAATAATTTGCCTACTAAATCATGCTTTAATGGAAAGTATCTGTTACTATAAATAGATTTTCTTCACACAGTTAAGGAAATGGAGTTATTGAAATAAATTTTACATTTATATCATTTAAAATATTTATCCCTAAAATATTACCTCGACATTTACAATTTCACACTACTATCAATTTTACAAAGTATCAATTTTTTACTTGCCTGTGAAAATGCAAATTATCTATTAACTATTTTACTATTTGATTGACAAAAAGTCTATAAATTGAAGTGGCATTAATATAGTGCATAACCGGTAATTAAGTTTTCAATTTGTATACTACTTCCATAAAACTTGTCTATTCCAGCGAGCTCTGGTTCTGTAGAAAGTGGAATTAGCAAAATTTTAGGTACATGTAACTGCATTTTTTGAAAAGGGCATAAGGTTTACACTCATGACTGCACATGTTGTATTTAGGTAAGAGTTTGGAATACACAACATCGATCTGTATTAGACAAGTAGGCAAAATTTGAGAATGCGCAACTTCATTTTGGAATATATGCACAATATCTGTATTAGACAAGTTTCACTGGTGTATAAACATTTAAAAATGATATTACATATACTTTTAATTCCCATACATACATTTATCCAAAAACATATGAACACATATCAACCGCTACATATTTGTAATGATTCAGATTGAATTTCAGATTATTGAAGATATCCTTGCTACGAAGGTGTTAAAATTAGCAAGACTCGGAGTTCCTGTGAAAGTGTTGAAACTAGCATGAAATGCCTTTCTCAGGTTAGTAAAGTAGAGTACATATATTTTTTAGCTCACCTTAGCCAAACCTGAGCCAAAGGCTCAAATAAGCTCAAGGGGGAATAAAATACAAGAATTCGTAAAAATTTGGAGCTAGGATCCTAAGACCCACTGGACCTGAACACCCCCCCCCCCCAGCACATATAGGACTTCTTTCTTGTCCACCACTTTCACACAATCTCATTCGCCTGTCAGTCTGTCACAGAAACAAAACTTTTGATTGAGTGAAGATACAGTTTTTATATTTCACAGATACATTCACTATGAAAGGTCTCTCTAATGTCCATGAACTATAATTTTGACCTCATGGCCTTGACTTCTATGTGTTTCAAGAAATTAAACATTGGTAATAACGTTTGAAGGATAGAAGAAAGATACAGCATAAAGTTATCTAAAATTTTGACCCACTTTTCATAACTTTTATCAAAACATAATTACTGTTTAGTGAGAGAATGTTAGGAGTGATCTGCCCTTAGATTTAAATTTCAATAAATAGAAATTTACAGTATATTACTCAATTTATAATCAAGTCAAGTATTCTTGACATTTTAAAAGAACAAGATAAATTAATTGAACATGTTATTTACATGTATCTTCTCCTTGAAAGTAAATAGCTATGATTTCTGTTCACTGATACTGTATTGTGTTTGAACATTTTTCCTCGGGGTAAATGCCATGTACATGTACCATATATTGAAAATTAAATAGATAAGCTTATTATTTACACCTTTATTCAATATAATTTTCTCAAAATCCAAAAAAACAAAAACATTTTGCACTTGTGTAGAGAGGATGTATGTATGCTCTGTTATTGTACATGTAATAGTTTTCATGTTCCATTTGGTTCCATTAGTCATTGTTTAATATAAACTAAAGTCTTGTATTATCTGAAACTAAATACTTATATTGTTTATTACAGAACCAAAACCAGAGCATTTGGTTCCAGTAGTCATTGTTTAATATAAACTAGTCTTGTATTATCTAAATCTAAATACTTATATTGTTTATTACAGAACCAAAGCCAGAGCATTTGGTTCCAGTAGTCATTGTTTAATATAAACTAGTCTTGTATTATCTAAATCTAAATACTTATATTGTTTATTACAGAACCAAAGCCAGAGCATTTGGTTCCATTAGTCATTGTTTAAAATAAACTAGTCTTGTATTATCTAAATCTAAATACTTATATTGTTTATTACAGAACCAAAGCCAGAGCATTTGGTTCCATTAGTCATTGTTTAATATAAACTAGTCTTGTATTATCTAAATCTAAATACTTATATTGTTTATTACAGAACCAAAGCCAGAGCATTTGGTTCCATTAGTCATTGTTTAATATAAACTAGTCTTGTATTATCTAAATCTAAATACTTATATTGTTTATTACAGAACCAAAGCCAGAGCATTTGGTTCCATTAGTCATTGTTTAATATAAACTAGTCTTGTATTATCTAAATCTAAATACTTATATTGTTTATTACAGAACCAAAGCCAGAGCTTTACATTTCGTCATGACATTCAGCAAATGAATGAGTATCTCAAGAAAATTGGAGAGAGTTTTCAGAAGATGAGGGATACCAGTAGGACTCCTACACTAAGTCAGCTAAATCATACTACATGTAAAACAATATAACAACGAAATTGACTGCTGTTATTTTCCCAAAGAACATCAAAGAAATAGTGAAGAGTCTTACAGTATCCGAAGAAAATTCAAGTCTTGCCCAGTATTATACCTGAGGGAAGTTTTGACCACTTATCCTAAAGTGATCCATGGCCATGCAAATCAAACTTCAGAAACATGACTCCACTATGCACTACTTCCAATATGCTTCAAATCATTTTTTAAAAGCTTATAATAATGTACATTCTTAAATAAAATATGCATGTAATAAGTGTATAAAACTAATAAAAGTAATCTCATTGAATGTACAGTTTCATCCTTTGTCACACGTTATCAGTTACAATTGTTGAATTTTGTATAATTGACAGAAAAATAAAAGAAATCTATGTCAAAACTGACTATTATTATTTTTACGGCTAAAGGATAACGTTTACTTGGATGACAAAAAAATTCACTGATACGAGCAAAGACCTACAGCTTTAGGTCTATGATAAGAGTGAAAAACCACAAATTAAGTATTGTACACCTTTGATTATTGTGTAATAATTCACCTTCATTTAAGTATGTCAGTGATCTACTTTTCCTGCTAGTGGCTCCTGAGTATTTCACAGAAAATATCTCAATTAATTCACACTATGACCAATATTTGCCCCCCCCCCCCCACTCTAAAAACATAGCTACTGTATGCTTTTGTCCCCTCAGTAATGACCATTTGACCTTTTTTTTGCTTAGAAGAATTTTTGGGTAGTTTTCACTGAGAATGTATGGCTGTGCCCCCCCCCCCCAACCACTGAAATTGCTTCCTACAGGCCTGTAATCAATTTGAAAAACTGAATGATAAGAACTCTAATTATTTATAGCCTCATTTTACTTTTCTTGTCCACATTCTACTGGTATTAAAATTATATGAGCTCAATAATCAAATTATTTAGACATGTTGACTGTGAATGGTTTGTGTTCATGTATATCTTTGTATATTTTTGAAATTCTTCATTGCATGTCATTCAATTACTAATATTTGATAAAAAAAAAAACAACTTGAGCTTTAATATACATAATAATTGCAAAATGGTGTTTTAAAACACATAGAAAATTTACTTTATGAATGACATATTCCAAGAAATAAAAGTATTGATACAAAAAAAGTAAAAAAAAATTAGCTCGAATTTCCTCTGCTCACCGCATCTTTCATATTTTCTTCAAAAAATAAATATCATCTAATTTTAAAATTGATTTTGAGTTATCACTTGGTTATTTTGTCCATTTTGACCATTTTTGATTAAACATTTTGTACTTCAGAGCATTCCGTGTCTGTAATCTGAAATCCTGACTAAATGTCATCCTCCAATTCCTGAAAATATGAATAAGCTATTCTTCAGTTTACTTTGAATCTTGACCTTAGCTTTACGTTTTGATAGAATCAGTAAGTTAACTGTTCATCGACTCTTTTTGTTTTTAAGCTAAATTTGTAACAAAAACGTTTGTTGATACCTGAAGAAGATAGAATTTGAGTCATTGAACACATGGTATTAACCCCCCCCCCCTCGTCTTTTTCTCACAAAAAGGGGGGGTCAAATTGAAATATCTGTGTTTTACTTTTATATCTTCACTACCTACATTTCATTTTAAAAATGGATAAGTAGCGTGATTGATATACACTTCAGTGTTGTTAAAATTCAGCCACGAATGTGATTTTGTACAGATAAAACAAGTGAAATGAAAAATATATTCCAATGAATGGTTGCCATGGTAACCCCTTCTATGTTGCTATCCTCTCCTAAAATAATACATTTTCATTCATTTCTATCATTAAATTCTATCTGAAGATTGTTTTACATAAAAAATGTCCTCAAAAGAGAAAAACAAACTCTACAAAATATACCATCTTCAATGTATAACAGAGTTTTCCCAATCTGTATTTGAGGAAATTCGGGATTAGGGGACATTTTCATTTTGATATTTCTTGAGTTAACTAAAATACACATGCTGGAAATCTAAATGAAATGACAAACCATAGTATAGATATTCTGAATAAACAAGAAGTTTTAAAAACCTATCTTGGAATTTAAAGATAAATATAATTGAAATAGAGGGGAAAATGGGTTTTTCTGCATTTTGAAAAAAGCACGAAATTTGATATTTTTAGCCTCCTATCAGCTTGAAACATTTCAGACTAAAGATTTAAATCCTAATTATTTTAATTATATAAGAATTCTTAAAATAAATTATATAATTGAAAGTGTTCATATTTTTTCGTGTTTAAAGAAAATATGGGGGCTAAAAATGATATATTTCACGAAATAGAACCTGTCAAAATGACCATATTTCCATTAGTTCCGGTTGCCATGGCAACGGACACCCCGAAACATAAACT